TTCAAATCTGTGAGGAGAAAAAAAATCCACACACACCTGACAGGACCAAACTCAGAAACATCTGAATGAAAGACTTACCATAAGATCACCAGGTCCTTAGCTAACAGTACTACTAAATACTACAACAGGAGGGGACAAAAGACTACTGATCAACCCTAATTATTTTGTAACAAAAAGGAAGAAAAACAGTACAAGAGAAATTTTTCTAAATGGCATAAAAAAAATACAAATACCACTAACTAGAATCTGAAGACTGGCATAAATTCAACCACAGCTAATAAACATTGCTTATATGATACCCATTTGCATACTCTACAGATTAAGAACATACAATATGAAAATGTTGACAAATTATCAGTGTATCACTATGCACTTACCCCCACCTTTCAGGCTCATCCTTCAAAATGGGGCTGGCTGGCCGTGTGTAGTAATCATTCTCTTTGTCCAGCTCCTCCTGCCCAAGACTCAGATTCATTTTCTTCTCCTCAAAGTCCATGTCTGTCTCTTTCCGCTTTGTGGATTTCCGCATCATCTGCAAGAAAACTTGGCATCAGTATTGCTTGGTATTGTTTCAGGCTACTTACCCATTAAACATCAAAAAATATACTTGCCTCCTTTGCTTGCCTCAGTCCTCGTTCCCATGCTGACTCAAACACAGGTGTCTCCTCTTTTCTGGGTCCCTGGTATGACACCCCTACCTATAAAACAGGCATGCACCATCCAAATATTAGACATAGCTGACCAGTTACAGGTACTACAAAACAATCATTTCAACTTTCATCTATTCATTGCATGAAATAGGTACATTACAGGTAAGTCACATCTGTCTTTGACATATTTGAAACAACTAACAAATAACAAATAATTATAATTTGCTACTGTCATTTCCAATCTAAACCCCATAACAACCATACAAATGTGAACTAATCAACAGATGGCATAGCTAAAATTAAAGTTAGCTCCAGATCTATGTAAAAAGCAGCACACAAGAGAACAGAACTGATTGACAAAAATGTGCCAGCTTGACAACAGTGCAGACAGAAATCTGGACAATTCATACTTACAGGGACAGGTT